TTTACTTGACACAAGGAACTAGTCGCAGCTGTAGTTAGTGTTAGATATTTTTCCATTGACTGTAGTGTTACTTAAAATCTACTTTTTCTTTCTCCAAGTAGATCTCCAGGTGGTGAAAAAACAGAGGAAATCTTTGGAAAATGCTGGCACGCTAGTGTTGGGCAGACTGATACATGCCTCCTAAACCTGTTTCTCCCTGTAGCATTATCCTTTAGCAGAAACACTGACATTCTACAGCTGCTTCTGACATGCAATGGGCTTCAATCAGAATTGAATCCCACTGAAGAAGTCAGTGGTGTCACACTGGTGCAAAAGCTGATGGGAGATAAGTCAGGAATCCTTTGTGATTTTTATTGTATATTAGGTATATGAAATGCAGCTGCTGGCTGGTTCAAGAGAAGTAAAACATCCTCTGTGTCAGGATGGACGCCTTTCTGTCAGAAGAAAGCTATCGCTCAAAACCAAGCTGTGCCATGCTTGTGATGAATAAGCATGGATGCTATACATGCAAAGCGTGGTGTTTTTTTTTTTCCCATCAGTGTGCGTTAGACTGAGCATAATATAATTTTTAATGCGTGTGAATGCTAGGAACCAGGCTAGAAACCCAGCATGCAGACTGGTTAGCTGCTTGGCCTGGCAGGCTCTGTGCTGCTGGTGGAGCAGCAATACCAGCGTGGCATCTTGTCATCACTGGGCTTGTCTCCAGAAGCTAATTTTCAAACACCAGCAGTTCAGATGTGAGATTTGCAGAGGTGAGCTGTATTTTATCAGCTGTGTTTGCCTGTCACAGACACATCAGTGGTGGCATCAAGTATTTTGTGAGCATGTGATAAACAGTTTGAACAAAATTCTCCCCGGGGAAGGTGGTGTTGCCTGATTTACATTAAGGTAGTTACTAGTGTCTTAGTGCAAAATCCAAAGCTGGCTGTTGCTTTACTTTACCTGTACTCTTAAATCAAAAAGGGGCTTTTGAGGAACATGAGATCAAACTTTGTTCTCCACCTTCCTATTTGTTTCAATACTAAAGGAAGACAAAAAAATATAATGTCTCCATGAAATTCTGGATGATTTTGTTTGTCTTATTTCTATTCAGAATTTGTGTGTTTGCAGTTTATACTACATTGTGTGCTGTTGGTGGGCAGGTGGAAGCCAAAGGCTGTGAAAGATGATAAAATATTTCTCCCAGTGTGCACTTAGGCTTAGAATTCAGCTTTTTGCGAGTTCATAAATGTCTTAAGTTTGCTGTATTTGACTGCACAGATGAGCACCTGGTTTTTCAGATAACGGTAAACCTTCCTTGGGATTTAGAAGCTCCATACAAGAGGCATTAAAAGCATATAATTAATGACTTTTAAAACAAGGTGCTTAGGTTGCCTGCCCTGTACAACCAGAATGCAAGCTGTCCATTGTTACAAAAATCGTTCAACTGCGTGAAGCCTCGTTATTTCTAATTAAAGGTCTAAGAACATCCAGCTGATCCAGTAATTTGATTGTCTCGGATGTCTCTTTATATCTTATAATGATGAAAAAAGACCTACATGTTTCCTTCTCAAACATCATTCCTAAAGTGCCTGCAAGCATGAGTCATTTTTTGTGTCTGACCAGCGGTGATAGGGAAGGAAATGATACCTTACGGGTGTTTGCAGCACGTCTACAATCAGCAGCCATGTTTTTTTGTACCATACTTTTGATGTTAGGGCTCTCTTTGCAGGAGGAACGAAGCTGTATACCATTACATTTTTTTATACAATAAAAATTAAATGACACTATTAAATATTTTTATTTCATACTTGTCTCAGAATAACGCAGAATTTAATTAATTGAATGCAGAATTTTCACAGTTAAGAGGTTTAAAACTAAAATGCTACATGATTTCTAGTTTACAACCTAGTATGCCAGGAATCTGCTGAAATATGTTTCCTTAGGATGCACGTTGTCATTGTTTGGCTCTCATCTTTCATTGAGGCTGTTATTTCTCAGGACAATAAGGATACTTGCACATTCGTAAATGCATTTCATTTAGTTTTTGGATAAGGAGGATGGTGCCTGCAGTTCTGCCTTTATGGGTGTGGAAGGTAAAGCAACAGTTGTAAGGCTGGCATCGTAGGTGTCCCTGCTCCCGTAATCTAATGATAAGTTGAATATCTGTAAGAGAGCGTGTGTAGTTGAAGGAGGAAACTTAAAATGGTGGTTTCATATTTTGAATATTTCCATTTCCTTTTTAGCATGATAAGCAAAAATGGTGTTTAGGTTTCCTCTAGAAAGAAAAATAAACACATAGGGTTGATGTGGCAAAGAAAAACCTTTAACGTTGCAGTAGTACACAGCTCACTGCACTACAGTTTAGGTTGTGTTAGTATTTCCATCAGAAATCCAGTTTTCAGAATTTTTTTTCATCTGTAAAAAGTCTGCTTCAGTCTGAAACTTGGTGAGATGTTTCTCTGCCTGAGAATGACCTTTGTTCTTTTTCAACTAAAATGTATCTGAATTCTTAATTTCTAGGATTTTGTAAGCACTTCCAGAGTATTACTTGCTGTAATACCGGTTGGAATGCTGAAGTGATTCACTGGCAGAAAGATACAGTGCGTGTGTGTAAAATACTGATGATTTGATGTACAATGAGATATGTTGTGTTATCTGTCTAGTTAAATCGCCCTTTGTGGTAAAGGGATTGTAATGCTTATCATAACAAGCAAGTTAGTTGCCCAGGGAGATGCAACAGAGGAAGGCACCGAGCAGGCTTTTCTACGGAACTTTGCCAGTGTATGCTAATCTTGACTTACAGTATTGTATCTGCTCCTTTGCTGAGCTGATCTTTGAGCGACTTCGGTCTGCGTTACATGGCAGTGAATCGCATGGTGATGTTCAGATGAATGTAGAGTAGGATTAGACCCAAAACCCATTATCTGGCCAGTCCTCAGGAGGTACGAAGTGTATAGGTCTCCTGCCTTGACTGGAACTACTTGCTGTCCAGAGGAGTGCAAGAATGATTTATGTCAGAGGCTTTTTGTTATAGAGCTTCCAAAGAATGCAGGAGGAATGGTGTGGATTACTGTCTTCTGTGTCATGAAAAATAATCTTGGGAACTGATCCCTTGCTTGCCCCTATTAATGAATTCTAGCACCCCAGTCAGTGTTTTGGATATATAATATTTGCCTTATGTAATTTGAAATGTGTTAACCATGACACTCAAATTATTTTTTTTTCCCCACTCAAAAATGGTGTGATTAAGAGATACTGATTTTATAAATTTACTGTGTTTTTTTCTTTTCCTGTTTTTATAATTTCATTTTGGTTTTGATTCATGGCAGACTTGATGTCAAGTCCTGCCTAACCACTGGCTGGGGGCCAGTCCCAGCTGATGTTAAGAGGGAGGGAATTTATTCACACAGTATCTTTCCTTCATCCTTGTGTTGTGCTGTGCAAGAAGTGCCTTTCAACCACCCACTCACAGCACTGTGAAACAAAAGCTTCACCTTCTGTTTGTGATCAGTTATCTCACAAGCTTTCCTTGAGCTGCTGTCCAGCAGCTTATCTAAAGTTGCTGTTTGTGTGTAAGCGATGTTAAGAGGGAGGGAATTTATTCACACAGTATCTTTCCTTCATCCTTGTGTTGTGCTGTGCAAGAAGTGCCTTTCAACCACCCACTCACAGCACTGTGAAACAAAAGCTTCACCTTCTGTTTGTGATCAGTTATCTCACAAGCTTTCCTTGAGCTGCTGTCCAGCAGCTTATCTAAAGTTGCTGTTTGTGTGTAAGCTTTGCCCAGTCCTTCCTTCTAGCATGTATTTACTCTGCATGTCAGCTCTCCAAATCGTACAGGTACTTGCTTTAGAAATCTAGACCGACTGTAGGAGGACATGAATGCCTTAGGCTTTTTCCGTTCTTGATGCAGGATGCCATAGCAATAGATCACCTGGGATAAAAAGCTACTACAACTTTAAGCTGTTATTATGTTATCAAGATACTGCTTTCGTAAACTACTAAGTTATTAAAACATTTCCAACGATTACAGTTGAAAAGTACAATCAATGAATGAGGATCAGCATTTCTGTGTGCTGATGAGGTGTTCTTCTCTGACTTTAGTATCGATATGCAGTGAAGTCTTACAGCTTTACAAGAAGTTTGAATATGAATTTTCACCCTTTTATTAAATGTGGATATTTTATCATTATTTATTCGATCCAGTGCAGCAGTGATAGTGTGATCGATGTACTACAGACAGCTCCTGTTACCAGTTAACTCCTCTCTCTCACAGTTCTAGAACTTGCATCACATAATTTTGCCTATTCAAGTATTCTTCTCTGGAGTTCTATAGGAACATTGAAAATGTTACAGTATGTAGCTTGTATGTAGAGGGGTGTTTTGGAAATGTATCCAGCCCAACTGCCCAAATGCAGTGTCAGTTACAAAAGCCATGTTAGGTAGACCCTGCTTGTGCTCACTGGAGTCTGTGGGAGTCCTTCATTGACCTCCAGAGTTTGGGTCAGAGTCTAGCTACTGAGAATACAGTCACCTTTTTATTTTTTAAGAAAATATCTGTGTATTATGTGTTGCCTCTATTATGCAGATGTAATATTTAGGTGTCTTTTTAATCATATTACTGATGAAAGTTATATTAACTATTAGCATATTCATATTGCAGATTTAATGAAATTATTGATATTCCTGTTCAGGACTATTAGTCCTGTAACTAAGAAATCAGGTGCTTGCTATTAACCTCTAGCTCTTTCTCTCCCCTGCCCTGTTTATTTTAGAGGCCTTTGAGTCTTTGCTTCGCTTTGCTGAAAACCACACAAGCTCCCTGTTTGAGACAGCTTACAGACCTATGGCAAAAGAAGCAGCAGAGCCTGTTAAAGAACTTTTTACAGACATCTCTCTCTACATTCTGGGCGCAGAGACTACAGTGGAAAGTGCAGTATTACGGTTCTTTGACAGTCTCTTCCCTCTGGTGTATAGTCGGCTAATAAACCCAGGAATTACAGATTTATCAGAGGACTATACAGAGTGTCTACGGCTTACAAGGCAAGACGTAAATCCTTTCGGACGCTATTCTAAAAACATGGTTACAGAGCTGTCAAAATCTCTTTGGGCAAGTCGGATGCTCAGGCAGGCCCTCAGGCTGGGCATTGAAGTGATAAATACTACTGAACACGCAGCTATCACGAAGGAGTGTAGCAAAGCTCTGGTGAAGATGCAGTACTGCCCGCATTGCCAGGGCCTGACGCTAATCAGACCCTGTGTTGGATATTGTCTGAACGTAATGAGGGGCTGTTTGGCCAGTGTGTCAGAACTGGATGCACAATGGAGGGAGTATATCTCCACACTGGAATATCTGACTAATGAAATGGCTGCCTCACATGATCTGGAAATTGCCCTGACGGGAATTCGGAACTCCATCAATGAAGCCATCCTGCATGCACAGTTGAACGGACCACAGCTCTCTGCTACAGTAAGTGCTCTCTAATTATTTGATACTCCCACTTATCACTTTAATTATTTGATGAATAATCATTTAAACAAGTTGGTGTTGTCTTTGCATCAGTTTTTAGTCTTCAACTAGATCTTTGTTTAATAGTCTGTGAAAACATTGCAGATAGTTACGATGGGGTTGAGTAGAGTCACCTTTGAAATGAAAGAAGTTGGGAGGGAAGTTAGTTCCTTGAGAAGCAAACCTGTAAAGCAGATACCTCTGGCTTGTCTGCAGAATTTTCTAAACAAAAATTTGATGTATATTATACTTGATATTAACAATGTATTTTCATACTCTAAACCATCTGTTACTCCTAGGAGCAATGCTCCCCAGCGTGTAGTTATTTGTACTGTGCGTGGACATTCCATGGGAATCAGTATAAGGAGCTAGAAGAGTGGGTTTCTAAATAAAGGCAAAGGCATTAACTGTTTCGTAATTTTACACTCCCTTTACTTTTGTGTTGGCTGAGAGACATCAGGAAGGTATTACAGGTCTATGAGTACACTTGTCATAAAAAGTTAGAAAAAAGCATGATAAAAATCAAACTTATTTGGCAGCATTTATGTAAGTAAAGGATAAAAATACACTTAAAGTGGATCTGTTTTTGTAAGTGGTAGGTTAAGGTGGAAAGAACTAGGATGGTAGAACTCTCTCATAAATAAGTGGCATGTGACTGGCAGATCTTCTCTCAAGATGTTGAAGATTAGACCAGAAATTATCGAAATGACTAATGATGCGGCTGACTACATCTGTGTGAAGTTCATGATGACTGTCAATGGAAGAAAATGTAGTAGTGTGACCTTAAGCAAGGTAAAGACTAATCTAAAAAATGCAGATAGATCTGCCTGTCTTGAAAGTAAAGGAATTCTTGCAGAGAACAAATGAGAAGGAAATGCTCAGATCTAAAAACTTAATTACTATGCTGAACTCTGGACACCATATTGTGTGAGGAAAAAATACTTCAAAAAGTTTATGGAAAGAAGCTATGGCAGAGGGCATTCTAAACTAAGGAAGTATTTTACTAGGAGAAAAATGCCTGTATGTTTATAACCTTCCCAGATACCTAATTTCACAGCTCTCTTCAATTTACAACACTTGACAGAGCCAGAGACTTACAGTCAGTATAACATGTGGATTATAAAAAAAATCCAACCACTTCCAGTAATCTGATAAAATTTTCCCTTGATATTTATTGTTATCTCAGTTCATGTTGCTTGTTCTCCTTTCCTTTTTGTCAATGACGCTTGTGTCTGCTAGTTTATCTGACATCCAAGGATAAACATGAAAAATAAGGAAAGATTTGTTCAGGTCTTGGGTAGTGCACAGTAGGCATTGGAGCCTACATGCACTGCAGAACAGCAGGTCTTCATGGTGCTGGTGTCTAGTTGGCAGTGTCCTAATGTATCTTGTAAAGCAAGGTTAAACCTAGAACACATAATGAACAATGTTCTTGCATCTGCTCTAATTTTCTCTAGAATATTATTTTTATTTGAGTCTAGAAGGCAAATGAAAATCCAAGTACGCTATTATGGAATATATTAATTTTATCTATAAATAGATACCTCTTAAATCATCCCACAGCTTCATTACTGATTACGCAGTAATTAGAAATAAAGTTAAGTTTTCTGACTACTAGCAGCAAAAACGATCGACAGATATTTCCTGCAATATATCCAGCGTGTTACAAAATGATAAAACATGATTCTGCACTGCATTTGTCAGCCTAGCAGTGAATATGCACTTGCTTAGCTTACTGATGGGTAAAATTAATAATCCAGGTGAATATCAGATAATTACAGATTAACTCAGTGAGTGTATTGCTCTTAGCTGATTTAGAAGTAGAATTCACTCTGAAATGTCTTTCAGGCTGAGGATTTTCTTTAATTCAGAATGAATTCAGGAAGTGCTGTTGTGTTTGAAACTACATTAATTCTTTCTTCTCTGAAGTTGTCTTTGTTTTCTCAGTCTAGCAAAATCTGTGCACAGACTGTGTGTTGGTTTAGGGAGTGCTCTGTAGGAAAGCAAAGGCTGCTTTCTGTTTGAAAATAAAAGCGATATGCCAGTGCGTGTTGCCCTCAGTCTTGTAGCTTTTTCAGTTGTCAGCGGGGAAAGATGATGTTTTGAAGACAGAGCACGTTCCACTATTCGAGCAAGCATTAGTCTGATACTGATTTAAAACTTTACTGATTAGTTACAGAGGATAACCATTATTTAGAAAATTGAGCCTAATTAAGCTGTATTTCCTTCTCTGAAGAGACGGAAAGGAATTCAATCTTCAGCTTCCGGCTATGAAATGGCTTCTCGGAATCTGAGGGCTGATTCTCAATTATGCTCGGGCCCTTCTGGGCCGCGCTGCTGAGATTTGTACCCGTTGCATGTACTGTTTGTTTTATTTATGGGAATTTTTTTTTTTTTCAGAAAAGAAGGTACCTTCTCTTTTCCCTTCATAAAAACGAGGAGACCTTTTTGTGTTCATGCGGGTACGCTCTTCAGCTTCCGCAGAAGTGGAAATGTTTATCTTATGTACAGTTTCCATTACAAATGCTGTAATTGGTTTCATTCAATTATAAATAATCTATGGAAAACCCGTTCAGGAAAGCAGAACACTCCTAGTAATTTTCATTTATCCTGAGGCAGCCTTAATTAATGCACCGGCCCTTTTAGGAAACATTTTACATTTTTTAACAGACAATATGGCTAAAAATTAGAGTTCTTTTTTAGCTTGCTGCCTGCCTGGATGATAATGAATAATGGAAAGTTAGATTATGTTTTCTTTAAAACAGAGGGAAGGGGCGAAATAAACCTATAAAGCACTTAGGGTACTTTGCTCAAATGAGGTGCAGTCAATTATTATAAATTAAAAAAAAAAAAAAAGAAAATCCTATTTGTGCGAAGAGTGCATAACTTCAAGAGACTGGCCTCTGCTGATCTCGTCCATTATAGCCAAGAGAATTGCCTGATTTGCTGGGATAGCATGTGTGAAAGGTCACCTTTAAGATATTAGTAATCTCTCCTCAGATTCCTCCAGAATGTGCTGTGCCATTTGTTCAATAATACTGGCTTGCATCCAGTTTACTTAACCTAATGCGGGCCAGCCACGGTCTGCAGCATCAGCAATCATAATCATTGCTTGCTGGTTTGTCTGCTGGAATCTAATTGTCTTTCGTATTGGTACGAGCCCTGGCTGCTTCTTGGTGCCAGCCCCAGAGATCAAGTTTGTTCACCCTTCCTTATCTTTTTTGAGACCTTTTTGTGTCTTAAAGCTGGTCTCATTTTTCATGTATTTATTCTACTGTATTGCTGTATTTGTGCATCGTTCCTGATTGTTTTATTTTTTTATTCAAAGTGAAAGTAAAATACCCTCAACTAAGATGCAAGAAGGAGGAGAGGAAGTTTCAAATGCTGGTCACTGGCACTTCAGGGAAGTGTATCACCAGGTAGTGTGGCAAACACTGTCTGCGCTTGTACTCCCTGGAGTTGGGTCTCAGTAAGGTGGTGTTCCAGTTGCTTGTGTAGGGCTAGTCAGGGCTTGTTTGCAGCCTGCTGCCAGCAGGCCAGCAGTTGTGCATGGGGACAGATATTGGAAAGAGAATAATACATGAGTTAAGGAAGATTGCATCAGAAACGGTTCAAATCTGCCTGGCCCCACTAACTACAAATCTGCATCCCTGATGATACAGAACGTCTCCCAGTGCTGCAGTTCAGTGGAGCTTGGTCGTCTTGCTTGCAGAGTAGCACTGCTTTTTCTGGATCTGAAAGGCACCAGTGATCTGTGCTGGGCAGGCAGGAGCTCAAGGGTTGATGCCCTGTACAGGTACAGATTTCCTGTTAGCTTTGGCAATCTGCAGTTACACAGAGATTTGTCTATCCTCTGTGGGGTACAATATATCGCTTCCCTGTGTCAGAGGAGTGTTCTAAGGTCTAATAGCAGTAGGATGATTCTTCTTTGATTTACTAGATTATCTAAGCATGTAAGAAGTGTTTGCCCATATTGGTAAGCTCTGTGATCCTGGGTCCTCGCTGGGCTTCTAGAAGTGATGATTTGCTATTTGTTCCACAAATGTGCATGGTGCTGTATGGGTGGCTGGCAGGGACTGTGTGTATCAGTTGCCAGTCGTTGAGTCATGCTCCACCAGCGAGCTGTGTGAGGCTGCCAGCCCTCGTATTTGGTGCTTTTCTCCATGCCTTCAAAGCACAATGAGGACACATGGAAATACCTCTTTGGAATAAAAAAATTCTATGCTGCTAATGTTGCTGTGTACCAGTGCTCCATTTTTCAAGGGCAAGGCAGAGGCAGGATTTTCGAAGAAGAAACATTTTGTGGTTGGAATTCCACTTCAGCTCAATAGAATTTGAACCCATAATTACCCGTTTTAAACGCTTTTCCCAGATATTGCTATGACCTCTACTCTGCACGTGGCTTCTTGTGAAACCTGCCTGCCCACAGAGTGGAAAACGCAAAATAATGTGTGTTAGCAGAAATATTTGGAATATGGGAAGGCACGTATTCCTTTGTGGTGTTCTTGCTGCGTGAAGTTCATAAGCATAAAGTACTTATCTTGTTAATGTTATAATGGCTGAAAATGTTTTAAACGAAGATAATGTAAAAAGCCACAGACTTAATATTTTTAGAATGGCCAACTGTTATACAAGACAAAAGTCTGACATACTGTGTTTCTTGATTATAGGAGTAATGAAGGCAAAAGATAATAAAAGGCTTGATAGAGGAGATTGTAAAACCTGGATATGATAAGAGATCAGACATTAGGAGAAAGCAGAAAGATCTGTGCCTTGAGCCAGTTAACTTCTTGGAGACAAACTTACCAATTCTTATGATAAAAGTGATAGAAGAATAAAGGTAGAAGAGTAAACTTTGGGAAGGAAAGCAAATAGAGGCAGGAGAAACATAGGCAGTGAGGGATGTTTGAGATGCATGATGGTAGGAATTTCAGGACTGTCAGGAAAAGCAGAATTGGTGA